TTGTAGAAGAGTAGCTGCAACGTCATCAAAGACTAGACTGGTGACATTACTGTTTGTCAAGTTGATGATGAGTTGATCGTACGAATCCGGTAAACTTTGAAGTAGAAGTTCAACACGTTCTTGTTCTCCTATTTTACAGCTTAAGGATATAAGCTGAGAAAATAAGGTGTTTAGTGTATTTAAGTGCTCCGTCATTGAAGTAGATTCTGGCATACGGAGAGTGTACAATTTCCTCTTAAGGAAAATTTTATTGTGCAGCGATGTGGCCTCGTATAATTTCGTGAGATGATCCCATATCTCCTTAGCTGTCTTCTTCTCCTTGATGCTTGACAATACTTCATCTGCTAATGCTAGATGAAAGTTTGCCATACCATTCCCGTCCATCTCGTTCCATTTGATGTCATCTGCGAAATCCACCGGCCTTTCATTGATAGCTGCTAGACACCCGTCTTTCCTTAGGATGTCCTTCATATTCAATTTCCACAATGAGAAATTTCTCCCATTGAATTTTTTAATATCAAATTTCGTTGCCATAGCTTCTTTTACGGATAGCTCCCACTATTTCACTATCGTGAATAGTTCTCTGGAACCTTCAAAGAATGGGTAATACCTTCTTACTTTCTTATGTTGGAGGATCCACCTTTTGGTGGCAACCACAAAGACAATAAGCAGATATTACACACTCAAATCTAGCTCTGATACCAATTATTGCGGAAGACGGCTATCAGATAGAGCAAAATCGCAACTGATAATTTGAGAAAATAAAAATAAAGATAAAAGAGACACAAAATTTACGTGGAAAACCCCTAAAAAATTTAGGATAAAAACCATGGGCAACGGTAGAAGAATTTCACTATGAGAAAATAGGAATTACAACCTCTCTTGATCTACCAATGAGAAAACAATGATAATTCTCTCTTGATAAAAAGGAGAAAACAACTCTCAAGAAACTCTCTAAATTCTCTCTAGTATTGGAAGAAAGCTAGAATGCTTTGGGATGGTTTTGAAGCTAAATGGGATAGGGTATTTATAGCTAAATCTTAAGGACTTAATCTTGTAAATACCCTAAAGTTTAATAACTAAAGTTTGTAATTTGACCATATAAAAAATCAAAAAAATTGGCTTTTAATATATTTTTTTTTCAAAGCCACCGGCTGCTAACTAGCAGCCCATGTGGTTTTTGATTTTTCAACAAACGGGTGCTATTGTGATCATTACGGATATTGCAGTCATATAATAATAATTCCGGACGGTATTGCTATAACTATATAATAACCGCTATTTCGATAATTATTTAAATCCATGTAATATAATATTGAAACTTACCCATCACTCTTTTCTTGCTCTATTTAACTAATTTTGTAAGCATAAATCAGGAGATTATTTACACATAATCACCTTTCTTTTCCTAAAAAATTCCATCTTTTCAACAAGATTATGATTTTTACTTCATAAATCTGTTATTGATTTGTATTGTTCTCATGATATGCATACTTTTTTTCTATATATATAGAAAAAGAAAAGCTAATGGCGGCTGCATGAATGCACGGCCACATGCAAAGACAAAACCCTAAGTAATCAGCAAAAACAGATCAAACACTGCGACGTCACCAAGTTTACTTATACGACAATCAATGATAAATTACCACTCTGCATGCATTTCAAATTATACGTAAACCCTAATTTATAAATACCCCTTTCAGCACTTGTGTCTTCTCATCCCTCAAAGATTGAACAGACAACCAGTTGTGTTCTTTTTCTTGCATTTGTTCTCCTTGTCTTCCCTTCGTATGGGGTAGCTGTTCCATTGACTTACAATACGTACAATGTTCTTAGCTATGGAGCCAAACAGGATGGCAATGTGGACTCAACCAAAGCCACGGTTGCTGCATGGGCTTTGGCCTGCAGCTCTATCAAACCTGCAACCATTTACGTCCCGCCGGGGTGGTTTTTGCTGCGCAACGTCGTTTTCCGAGGACGGTGCAAGAATAATGCTATTGTATTTCGTATAGACGGTACATTCGTCGCTCCTTCGGATTATAACCTTCTCGGAAGTACCGGAAACTGGCTTCTCTTTGAGCATCTAAACGGGGTTTCGGTTTATGGCGGGATACTTGATGGTCAAGGCACAAGCTTGTGGGCTTGCAAGAGATCGGGAAACGGGTGTCCCAGTGGAGCCACGGTGAGTTTTGCATACGTTTTATTGATATCAGCGATTAACCAACGTTATATAATACAATTTGCAAATTATTGTTTTGGCTTTGCACTTGCAGTCGTTAGTATTTAGCAATTCAATGAACATTGTAATAAGAGGATTAACATCTGTAAACAGCCAATTGTACCATATTGTCATCAATGGTTGCAACAACGTAAAAGTGGACGGTGTACGAGTGTCTCGGTTGGCCCTGGAACCAGCAATCTATGGATCGAGAACGTCGCATGTGGACCTGGCCATGGGATCAGGTAATTAACGATTGATCATCACTTGTATATGTAGCTATATCTCTGAATTAATATGGTTGGACATTGGAGCAGCATTGGGAGTCTTGGGAAGGAAGCCGAAGAACCCAGTGTTCGAAATGTGACAGTTAAAACCGTCACATTTACCGGTACTCAAAACGGTGTTAGAATAAAATCATGACCAACGTCGAAAATCCGATCGTCATCGATCAACACTACTGCCCCGACGAAAAGAATTGCCCCGGCCAGGGACGTATGGTAATGGTTCTTTAATCAATCGAATTAGTTATCCTCTTTTATCCGAGCTGGCTCGGAAGAATAATTAATTAAACGATTCGATACAGGTTTCGGGGGTTAAAATCAGCGATGTTACGAACCGACATCCATGGAACATCGGCAACGGAAATAGCAGTGAACTTTGATTGTAGCCCAAGCAATCCTTGCACTGATATGAAGCTGGAGGACGTGAAGCTCACTTACAGGAACAAACCGGCTGAAGCATCATGCAGTAATGCTGATGGATATTGCCTTGTATACAACCTATACAAACTACAATGTTTGATGACTTTGGTATAAGTTCTATACGCGTTTTCTCACTGAATTTAAAAAACATAATATTTGATCACTTTCGATTGATTTAATTAAGATGTGATCATTAAGAGTTAACTATCATTACACTTTTAGCGGATTATTGACATGACATAATGAATATATAAAATTAAAAAAAGATAAATTACACAAATGACCACTAATACTTGAGTAAGTTTTCATTTTCCTCACTGGAATTTTTAAAGTAACAAATTGGTCGAGACCATTTTACATTATATGTCGAGAATGATACGAACCGATACGGAACCCCACCGGCCCAAAAGGAAGCAGTAGAAGCATTTCATCAAAATATTTGCATTGAATAAGAAATCGAAAGCTAAGTGTCGGCCACACTGTGCCTTAGATCTGAAAAAACTCATCGATTTCATCAAAATCTATTAAGGGTATGAAATTTGAGGAAAAATATGTAACATGCATGGGGTTTTAAGATGGAAAAATAGTAGTTAAACTTTCAACTAAAAACATCCTACAAGAAAAACTAAACACAAAGAGTAAAGTAATGTAATGAGAGAGAGAGAGAGAAAAAATAGTATAAATTACATGTTTAATACTTAAACTATCAGCTTTAGTCTATTTTAATATTTAAATTTTTAATTCTTTCGAAATCACACATAATAATTAATTTTTGTTTATTTTAGTACTTCGGTCGTTAAAATCATTTTTATGGGTAAATTATACATTCATCCCTCAACTATCTTCTCACTTCTATTTTGATACCGAAGTTTAAAAGTTTTCAATTTAACTAATCAACTTTCATATTACTTTCTATTTTATAAAAACTCATCGATTTCATCAATAAGGGTATGAAAATTGAGCAAAAATATGTAACAAAAAAAATTGCATGGGTTTTAAGATGGAAAAATAGTTGTTTACTGTAATGAGGGGAAAATAGTGTAAATTATCAGTTTTAGTATTTAAATTTTTGATTTTTTTAAAACTATACCTAACGTTTAATTTTTGTTTTATTTTGATACGTTGTCGTTAAAACTTAACGCACTTCATTTTTTATGGGTAAATTACATCATTCATCCCTTTACTATCTTCTCACCCCTATTTTGATACTGAAGTTTAAAAGTTTTCGATAATTAATCTTTAATAATTGTAAAAAAAAATTAAAGATGCCAAATATATATTTTTTAAATTTAAGAAAAGATATAAAAAATAAATAAAAATTATCAATCATATAATTTATCCTTTTTAAAAATTACTTTCCACATAACATATCATCATTAAAATGTGTTATTTTAGTATTAAATGAGTTGGTTTAAGTGATAAGCAGCTTGATATTGTTTAAGCAATATCTCATGTTCGAGTCTTTGTGTATGTAGAAAATCTCCACTAGAAGATTTATCCACAAAGCTAAGTGTGCAATCCGGGTTGGTCCAGGTTAATCAATGCGAAACCTTGGAACTAAAGGGCAAGAAAAAAATTATTCTCATATTGTTGTCAAATATTTTTGTCATAACCTGAATTATTATGACAATTTTTATAATATATAGGTAGAATTGAGACATGAATCATAAAAATGTTATTTACGTGATAATTTTGACCTTCAAATTTAGATGAGAAAGTAGTTTAGTCAGTAATATTTTTTTTCCTCTCTTTTAATTCTTAAACTTTTTTTTCCAAATTGAACTAACCGAAAAAATAACAAACCTATTAAATTAATGTCAGTTATTTTATTTTTTTGTCCATATTTATTTTATTATTTTATATAAAAAAATTTAAAGAATGTATTTAAAATAATCAAAAAATAATTTTAAATTAAAAATTAATAAAATCAAATTATAAACATAAATCTTAAAACTTATGCATAGTACAAGGACTAATAATGAAATATGAGCAGAAGCGAAATCCTTCTTCGAACCCCTTGAATACCTAAAGATAGTTGTCCGAAGCCAGAGATCCATCCAAAACTGAAATGGAGGCTTCTCCTCCTTTGGGGCTGCTTTTAATGTAGATTACTATTATCCGAAAAGAACCATTTTTTTTCTTCTCTTCCACGCTTCTTTTCAAAAAACCTAACCCCCAACAGTGGCTGTTGCGATCTTCATCATGAAAAACATGTCATCTCCTCCATCACAGGACGTGGTTCTGGCACGCGCCACCCACCTGACGCGCGAAGAGCTCCTCAAGCGGCGGTTGCAGCACCTGAGGCAGCTTTCTCGGTGTTACCGGCACCACTACTGGGCTCTCATGGACAACCTCAAGATCCAGTACAGGAACTATTATTGGAAATTTGGTATCAGCCCTTTCAAGCAAAACTCTATTCAAGAAGATGATGCACCACTCACTGACCGCGCTGCTGATAATAATGTTAATGTTAATGATAGTAATAACAACAATAATGTTGGTTTGAATTTTAGGAATAATCAACATTGTTCGTTTGTTGGATGTAAGTTCAAAGCCATGGCCTTGACTAGATTTTGCCATCTCCATATCCTCTCCGATTCCAAGCAGAAGCTCTATAAAGCTTGCACATATGTCATCAAAAGGTATGATTTTTTTTGTGTTTTTCTTTAATCTTAATTTAATGGGTATGTATGTATGTATGTATCTATGTATGTGAATTATGATGAGAAAGAGCGTTTGATTGCTATAACCAAGGAAGGAAGGAGAGGTTTTCTTGCCACCCGGGTCTATGGAGGCAGGATTTTGGGTTAGCTGACGAAATTTAGAGGCCAAAGTTTTAAAATTTTAATAGAAGAGAACAAATTATCAATAGTAAATATAAAGAAAATATTTAAATATACTAGAATTTAAAATTTTATGCATGGAGGTGGAGGGTTCAAATGCACTTAAACACAATTGCCTTGGGTTTGGGAGTTAGAGGGGTTATGGGTAGTTTAGGTTCATAAAAAGTTAAGAGCTTTTTTTCTTTCATGAAAATGATAATGAATAGGGTAGGGGATAAGGATGGTGAAGATTGATTTTTTTTAATTATTGGCCTGAATTTGTTTGTATAGTGCTCATGCCGGACCTATAACATGCGGGAAGCCAATACTCAGATCAGCCGTTCCTTCTCTGTGTACTGCCCACTTCCAAAAGACTCAGAAAAATGTTAACAGGGCATTGAAGAAGGCAAATCTTAATGTTTCCTCTTTGAGTAAGCTTGCTCCTATGTTTCATGTCATAGTGGCAGAATATGTACATCAAATACAAGCCAAAAGAAGAGCTGTCTCGAGGGGAATCACTAGTAAAACTACTATCAAGGAAGAATGTCCTAGCTGAACCTTCCTTAATTGCTGCACTTGTCACCAATGCTAAAGAATTCAAAGGTGAGACTGACTGACTCTTACTCGTATTTGATGTTTCGATACCCGTCTTAGCAGCTCCTAGGTTTTTAATATGTCAAGCTGTAGCTGTATTCTTTTCCTTTATGTCACTAGTTATCACAATTCATATCGATGCTTCTGGCGATCTTTATTGTAAACTTTGGAGTTGAGAGGAGCCTTTTGTTTGAACTTGATTTAAACCGGTGATCTTAAGATGAGAAAGTTATAAACTGAGCCGGGAGGGAGAGACATAATTCATGTTCTATGTTTGTTTAATTGTCTTGATGGTCGATCCCTTGATCTTGTTATCCCTCGGTTCAGGTATCTTAAGTTGACACCCCGCCAATACAAGTCAGTGCAATGTCCGACATCGACATCAGTGACACGAAAATCATAGGCATCCATGAAGTAGCCGAGCTTCTACTTGTAAATGACAGTAACAACCAATGTGCTTCAGCCAATGACCAATGTTACATGCATGCTTTCTCACTCAGCTTGACAAGTATGCCGAAAGTGGTGCCTCGAAGCCTTAAAACTTGGAACTTTGGATTCATCCTGATTGTTGTAGCTTTGTAGTATACTTCTGTGGTTCCATGGAAAGACTTATTAAAATCTTTTGCAAGCTGTATGTATGACTAAATCAAGGCTTGTATATTTATCAACCAATTCAAATAGTTTAAACATGAGTGGGACACTCCCGTTCATTGGACTATGACCTATTAGATAGGGGTGGATGAGTAAATGCGGATTGTGAATGCTAGTCATGCAGGGCAAAGTTTGTAGCCATGGTTTTTGCCACTATACCGGTTGATTTTCCCGTATCCAATTCAATACATCAAAACTCACGTGTGCAATTGATTAGTGATTAAATTATACATTATTTTGTGATTAATTACTCCTTAATTAGTTATTTTAGTTTGCTAACTTAGCCTTTTTCGTTCATTTTCAATGCAAGACAGTAGATTCTAGAAATATTGCTAAAAATGATGAAATTGTGTAATTTTTGATTTTCTGAATTCATGATTTGATTGGTGTGCATGACTTAGCGTTCAGTCAGTAGCTTCTAGAAGGTCCAGTCAGCAGATTGTGTGGAGAAGGAGACTCGGTCGAATTTTTGAATTGAAATTAGAATTATTTTTATATTTATTTTTTAGGAATTATCTTTTTAAATTTGAATGTGATTTCTTAGGGTTTTTGAGGACTAAATACCCCAACAGGGTAAGCCTCAAATGATCATTGGGATCTTTGAATCATTTACTCTTGAACTCTTTGTTACTTTCTTTCTTTAGTTTTTATAAAAGTTTTTTCCATTTTATTTTCTTTAAAATGCTAAGCATGGTTTTTACCATGCTTAGCTAAATTTTCCATAGCTAAAGGCTAAATAAATGACTCGATTCTGAATCGTGAGAATCGAAAAGCACATCATACCCTTCAGGGTTATATTTTCAGTTTTTGAAAATCAATGATCGATAATCGACCATCCTTTTACAATCAAAAGTGATTTTCATTTCAAAAAGTGTATGTTAGAATTGAATTTCAGTTTCGATTAACAATTGAAAGGAAGGATCGGCCTATGGCACATTCGACTTTCTGTGAATACATTTAGCAACGGTCCGCTAAGGGAAACTGAAATCGGGTTAGATCCTCAATTGAGACGGAACAATTCGAGTCGTGTTTTTTCAGAATTTAAAGGCGTTGAATTGGTAAGCGATTGTCACGATTAATTCACAAAGAGTTGAGATCTAGAAATTGATTTTAGATTCTCGATTTATTTGAGAAAAAAACAACTTACAGGGGATGTGCCCTGTAAAATGTAATCAACATTAGCTCTCAGGTAAAATCCTATTCAAGAATCGATTTAAATCGAGACAAAAACTTTAGCCCAAGGCTGATTTTTATCAATTAGATTTTTACTTTAATTTTCTCAATTTACTTTCTTATTTTTCTTTCTTATTTTTCTTTCAAATCTTAATTTTACCTCAACTCTCAAAACTCCTCTTATTCACTCTTCTCTACAAATCACACCAAAGACAAATCAAGAGCGAGGATCTTATCAGTCTCCTAGTCTATATTCTACTTAATTCATTTCTTTTATTTGAGATTAAGAAACATTTTATTTTGACATCAGAACGAAAATCTGTCAGCAACGTGTGTCAATATCGGAACAAAGACGATGCATCAACCAATACGACATTGATATCTTATCCATTCGTATAAAAATGAAACTAAATACATCAATAACAAATGAAATAAAATTCCCCTGAAACTGGCATCCATGTAATGTAATTTAACTAAAGCTCATTTTAACCAAGTGAGATGTGACCTAACGCTTCTGCAATTACCTTGATACAAACAATTTTTCTGTAGCCACACTAAACTCCCATATTTCTTCAGCCACTAATTGGGAAACAGTTAAAAAAAATCTTAATCAACACTTCATGGTAGTAAAAGCAAGACTTATCTCATGTTGACTGGACTAATTTTCCCAGCAGCTCTAGAAAGGGGACCGACCTTGATTAATGCTTGGACCGGCTGTGATGTCTATGGCGCTTGCTAGAGCGTTCTTCCTTACCCTTAGAGCTCCTTTTCTGAGAGACTTCTCCCCTCTCTGCAGTGCTCCTGGAATGGTAGTGCTCCTCTCTGTCCGAAGAACTCCACTTGTAGATATGATCCCTCTCTACAGGGGTCGATTTTGGAGAATAATCCGACCTATCCTCAGGGCTTTTTTCATGTTGGCATTCTTCCTCCACACGACTCCTTTTCCTGGGGTATTGCTTTCCCCCTGTTGTCCTTCTGTGTTCATCCCTCTCCGTCGGGCTACTTCTTTGGGAAAAATCTTCTCTCTCTGCAGAGCTCCTCTTGTGAGAGTATTTTTCCTTCTCCACTAAACTCCTAGGTTTTCGAGGGGGTGATGGGACCTAGAAACACATTCGGACAAGATGACATCATAATGACATCTTATTAGGTTAGGCTAAACCCGAAAAGGAGGCAAAGCAGTTCAGAAAAGATTCAAGACCAACCCCCCCCCCCCAAAACCAACACACACACTAAAAAAGGAAAATAACTTGTAATTTAAGAATAAAAATGAAAATATAATAAAATTTACATACACCAGCAACTCTAATAAATTCAGGAAGCAATGAAAATGTACAAGTAGAAAAATAATGCATAGAAGCAAGACTTATGCAACAATGTATTTGTAAAGCTTATTTTATCTCACTTTAAAATATCCATATATATGCCAAGGGTTTGAATTAGTATACGATAGTGAGGTGAATGGGGCTGCACCTGGAAACGAGACATGTATCTTCCTTCAGGTGGAGGAGGAATGCCCAGTTTTTTCAATTCTTCATAAGGAATTGGTTGCCTGGTTTTCAAGGGGAAATAGAGAATGAGCAAACAGAAAGCTGCAGCTCTCTGTATCTAGCCACAAGAGCTAAAAACTTTTATGATTATAGGACTATTAGATTTTCACTATTTGGACCCTAATGAACCCAGAAGTTGTATTAAATAGATGGAAAATTTGGGGTGGAATGTACATCAGATTTATCAGACTCATATAGCACACAGAGCATCTGATAACTTAATGGATCAAAATATGCATAAAATGATGGGAAAGACAATGCCTACAAAGGAGCTCTAAATGGTCTTTCTCGTCCTCCAAAACGAAGTTGTCCTGATTCCTTTCTACCACCAAGACCCCCTCCTGTTAGAAATCTGAAACCTGTCAATTTCGGCAACATTCCATAGCTAGATGAAATGGGAAAAGAAGAGAAAATCTATACCGACCTAATCTTCTAGGAATCCACCCAGGCATCAACTGTTGCCTGTTGTAATCAACAAGAATTTCAGCATCATCAACAATTGAATGGTGGGCGTCCTGAAAATGGAGTAATCATCATATTTGTTCACCCTTTCTTAATTTTACAAAAACGGACATTAAAGATGTAATCCCTGGCTAGAATAAAACTAATAAGACGAGAGAAAATGAATCAATGTTGAGTACCAGATATGCACGACGCATTTCTCTCTCGGATTCGAATTCAACGAAAGCATAACCCCGTGATGCGCCGGTCACTACACAATGCATCCCCTTAAGCTAGAATCTAACGGAAAGGTATAATATATATATATATATATAGAGAGAGAGAGAGATAAACTAATGTTCCAGAACTAAATGAATATAAAATTAAAACCCTACCGATGTGGCGAACTAAGCGCAAGTTTTTTACTCGACCATATTTGCTCATAGCCTGAAAAAAAAAACCAAACAGATACAACATTTAAAATAACAGGAAACCCAAAAAAATTGAAAAGTTTAAGAGCAGAATCGCAAAACCAAAGAAAAGAAAAAAAAGGTTTTAGGACCTTCTGGAGAGTGTGCTCTGTGGTCAAGTGAGATAGGCGACCGACGAAGATGGTGCGATAAGGGTCGCCGATGATTTTGAGGTCACCCAAAGGGTCATCTGCAGTGAATTAATGAATCAAAAGAAAAAGAAAGGGAGAAAGATGAAAAGTTTAAGTGAGAGAGAGAGAGATACAAAGGGCAGCATTGGAACATAGATGAGCTCGGAGAACGGCGTTGTCGTGGGGGAGGACGTCGGTGCCGTCGATGCTACCAGCTTGAATAGGATGGTACGACTCTGCATAGAACACCGAGTTTATGTTATTGCTGCTGCTGCTCATTATTCGTTTAGGTATGTAACAGAACTACATTGAGTTGGACTTATAAAATCCCGAATCATTTTGGGAGCGAGTTTGAGAATGGTTTATTAGGGTTTTAAAATTTCGATCATTTTAATTTGGATGTATTTTTCGAAACCATTTTAAAAATTAATTTTTTTAATTTCGAGTTATTTAAGTCTAGTTATTTAAATTCAGTTTTTGAGTTCGATTTGAGTTAAAATTTTAAATTTTCGAGTTACTCAAAAAATAAAAAATTTGATTAAGTATTTTGACAGTTTTACTATTTAGCCTATGATTTTATTATTTATTCAATTTATCCTTCATTTTAAGTTATTTTTTATCAAATTTGAATCACATGCTCTTAAACCATCGTATAATACATACTTACTTTCAATTCATCTTTTTTATAATAATTTTTTATTTTTCAATTTAGTCCCTCAAATTTTAATAATTTACTTTTTTTCTTCAATTCTTCATTTATTTTAAGTCTTTTTTTCACCAAATTTGAATCATATGATCATATACCACAATAGAATACCCATGTAACTTCAATTCTTATTTTTTTACTAAAAATTTACTCTCTTTTTTAGCCCCTTAACTTTGCATTTCACTAAATTTGGTTTTTTTGACTACAATTGTTTGCAAATTATTTATTCTCATCAATTCCTTACTCCTATATACTCTCAAAATACTTTCTTTAAAATATAATATTATAAATATATTTTATAATTTTAGATTGTATTTGATATATTAAATAACATTATAATGTGAAAAGAATAATATATATATATATATATATATATATATATGGTTAAAGAAAGTCAAAAAATTAGAACAAATCCTTACCATAATACTATAAATAATTATAATAAAATTAGTATAGAAATTAGAATAACTCGACTCGAATTTCTTAAACTCGACACGAATCGAAAAATTTTCAAGTCAAGTTCGAGTTGTAAAATACGACTCGTCAACTCGAATAAATCAAAATTTTTTTACTCGACTCGACTTGATCGAATGCTCACCCTATCTAATGTTACAAACGTTATCATTTTAGGTGTAACACCCTCAA